CTGGTACGATTTTCAAGAACTTATGTCAAAAATATCAAGTGCAAAAGATATGGTTTAACGCCAGATACCATCCTCAAGTGAATTTTGTTGAGCGGATGAACAAAACAATAGGAACCGCGATTAGATGTTTTGTTGAGGAACATAAGGATTGGGACCTACAGTTGCCACAAATTCAACATGCTATTAACACGTCCCGTCACGAAGTAACAGGTCATTCACCGTGCTTTCTGAATTTTGCTCGACACGTTCCTTTGTCAGGAAATTACTATGGCGAAGTACAGTCAACTGATGACTTGGAAATATTACCAGGTGATAGAAATTCCTATGCAGCTGAGCTTAAATCTTTGAGAGACGTTTTTGAAGAAGTTCGTCAAAATTTGCATCGTTCTTATCAGAAGAATGCTTCCAAGTATAACCTCCGTCGGAGAGATCACTCGTTCGTAGTAGGCGAGAAGGTCTGGAGGAGAAACAAAGTCCTTTCCGACGCTGCTTCCAAATTTACTGCCAAACTTGCGCCTAAATACGTACTCTGTACGATTGTAAAGAAAGTTTCACGTCTTGTATATACATTGAGAAACGCCAATGGTTCACCGGGAGGTGACTGGCACGTGAAGGATTTAAAGCCTTACATGGGTTCCAATGAAGACATTTCAGTGGGGTAAGGTATACTCACACTGGTGAGACTGCACGTGTTGTATGTTACTGTTGGTGCAGTTATGTTGATATTTCAGGTATAACAATTTTTCTTTAATATTTTTTTAGTGCACTAATTCAGTTTTTCACAATAATGGTTGGCCACCATGAGATAGTGTATTCAATAAAGCACTTTTGTATATTGTACTCGCTAGATACTTTTGTATATAGTATTCTCGAATTTTTTTTTTTGTACATATTATCCTAGGTAATCCTACATTGTGTCTATTCTAAATTAGAATAAGATGACTTTGTTCACCCATTTCGAAATGCTTTGCGTTAAGACTTTTCTCAAAATTGACCCTTACCGATTATGACCTCCACTTATTATGACTTTTTACTTATTATGACTCTCCCTGATTAGTATCCTTTCAAGGACGTATGGTACGCGAAGTTACCGTTTCGCATTTGCAAGAAGTGGTTTATTTATTTATGATAATCATGAAGTAGATACTTGAGAAAAAAAAATGTCATTGCATGACCTTTTTTTCTTTATTGGAAGGGGGTGGTGTAACATTCGCAAATGCTCAGAGCACCCAGTGCCCTCTAACGTACACTACTTTCAACTTTGGAACACACCTACACTCATATAAAGCAGGAATCGATACATTTGGTAGTGCAGACTAGTACTTTATATTACAGCTAGACCTAACTCTTAGTTTCGCTATTCGCTCAGTGATGGCGCTAGTCGAACTCAGAGAAAAAAATCAAGGAATTAGACAAAAATCATCTTTTCAATTGTTTATTAAACTTCAAGAATACAAATAATAATTATATAATTTACCTGAACATATATGTTTTGCAACAAATGTATTGTGAATTTGAGAAAGTATCATCATAGTCTCAATTACAGGTTAGGAAATGAAATTCTCAATTTTCTTTCAAATTAGTATGTTTGAGGTGAATCTCTTGGTCGATCTGTCAATTTCCATCTATTCCTGATTGGAGATTTCAAACTGTCAGCCTGGTCTGTTATAAAGTACCTGAAATAAACAATTAGAAAATATCAATATTCAGCTGTTGTACTTACCAAATTCAGTGGGATAAAATCAGTATTTTTCTGTGTCCAGTCTCTGTTGTTAGTATCACCTGTATTCCAGGATTCAGAAAGCATCTTCCGTTTCGTTTTTCACTAGCACTAGTTGTTATTTTCCGGAGTATTTCCAAATCCTAGGAAAATGAGTGGAAAGAATCTGATTCATAGATGGCACGACCATCGCGTTGACAGCGATGTCTGTAAACAGCTTCCTCACAGGTTTCGGGGTGAAGGGGGAAAGCTTCGATTGATTTCGATGGAGTTCGATTGGCTTCTATAGGCTTCCAGGAGCTTGTGGTGAAACTACACAAGGCTTCGAACCGATATTTTCGGGATTAGTGCCTGTTTTTCCCATGAACAGTTTCTCCTGATTTGTGGACTTGTCTCCAGCCATTATATGAGGTGATCATAAACCGAGTGTGAAACTTCCAGTGCTCCAGGCATCCAGAAACTTCAAACACGTGCCGGTTTTTTTTGTGAATCGTAAGTCTATTCTTTTCCACTCAAATTTCCATAAAATCTCTTCATGAATATCTTTTCCATTATTTACAGTTGGTGAACCCAAATTTCTTAATTTCACATCATATGGGGAACAATATGATGTTTTTCTGTCCATTTTTGTATGAAACCCTCTGTAAGGGGTAAGTAGACATTCTCTGCATGAATGTCAGAGAAATAACATTTTTGTTATTTAGGGTTTTAGGTGGGACTACGTCCAAGCTAATATTAACCAGTAGCCAGTGTCCTGGTTACTTGTAGATGTAGTTGTTTTGCTGGGAAACTATAAGGGCAGTATTATCAACCCCTAGCTGTTGCCAGTATTACCATCCTGGGTGGTAGTAATGCCCTACGGCTTCTCAATGAGAAGTAACTCATGGAAGAGACCTGTTAATTTTGTACCCAGGATAGAAGTTATTTTTCTTTCTTGCTGAACTGAACCTGTGGAGCTGTCTGGACTGATGAATTCTGGAATGGGAATGGATCACCAATAACAAGGCCAGATATAACCTTTTAACGATATTTTGTTGTCATTTTCTTTTACATAACTTAGCTTTCACATTTGCCTCACCTGGAACCATATTATTAACTTTAACTCCTAGACTGTAAAATGTGAATTTACTCTCAAGCTGTACAGCCTTCGCTCAGTACTGTGCGAATGCCATGATCATCATCCTCAATGTTATTTTGAGAATAATATTTCATACACAACATTACTTATGATTGTTGACAATATTCTTTAACTTGTCAATTATGATTTACTCAGGTGAGTTACCATGGTGAGAAGGTAGTATAAATGTGTGAATATCACCACATATTATTCAGCTAAATTTCAGTGTGTGATATACAGGGTGATCTTGTCGGTTCAACAAGGCTTCAGGTCAGATAGGTACTTGTTAATTGATTGTTTTTTTTTGTAAATATATGTAAATATCTGGGTGAATATAATTTCTATACATTCCCCCTCTTCCTGAGTTGATTGACGTTGGTTTGACATTATGAAAATTTAAATAAGTATATATAATTTTTTTGTATTGTAAAGAACTTTTCAAAATTAAATGGATCTTGTTTTCTTGACTTGGACAAGGCCAAATATCCCAAGTACTTCAAGTCAAGTGGCGCCTGGGTAAGTTTCCTTCTCATTTTTTAATTCTTTGGAAACTTATGAAATTAAATAAATTACATAATAAATTGTTAACCCCGACCTCCATGCTCTCTAGACAACAACGCTAACGGTGCAGTGACTTTTCAATTTTCCATAGAAAGTTGAAAGCGTTACAAGTGATTCATTGAATCAGTGATATTTTCGTTTAGGATCGAGGTCTATTCCAGATATATTTCAATGCATTAATAACAAAAAACCATAACCTGTCAGAATGAAGCCAACTACCTTCTGCATTCCTGCTCCGAGTGCATTTGTGGTTATGTACGTTTACCTTCTTCTATTTTTTTCAATGGTTTTTCATTCGTTAGCTATTCGTTAGCTATTCGCTAACTATATTCTTCACCAATCACCATCAGCTATTTTGAGACTAGATTTAGAATGTACGTCACGGTTGTCTTTAATTTGAAAGTGAAAACGACTTGGACTTAATGGGTCGCCATTCTGTACTGCGTGGACATAAAACTGGAGAGTTCCGAACCTATTTTATAAAAATTCATCTGAAGGACACTTCCCTGTTAAATCGTGAATGGTGGGGACAACTCTGCGGAATCACTGCCAGATAATTGATGTTCTCCATATATATTTTATATACCTGATAAATCGGAATTTCTATAAATGTGTTTTTCATTAACAAAAGCAAAAAAACAGCACTGCCACTGTACCAAATTTCTACGTACCTGTGCGGTAAAGTAAATTAAACTAATTTCAAATATCAGTTTATAAATAAAAATAAATGAAATAAAAAAAAAGAACTAATTGATCATAAATATAGGAGGTACTCAAGTTTCAATTGTTTCATTTGCCGACATTTCTACATCTGAATGTATACATTCGTTATCTGAATTCATGTCGATAATTATTTTTCTCAAATTAAAATGAGCGCGTCAAAGTTGAAAGTTCTCAGAATGAGTGAAAGCCGAGAACACAATATAGATTCACGAAAAGTAGGTTTACACCCAATACTAGCAACGCTTGCTCGTTATACATATTCCTCAGAAATCATTAACAACATTAATTCAAGTAATATATTAACTATTCTTCAATAAATAATTAGTGTTTTTGATAATAGGTGAAATATTGCACTATAATGATTTCGAAAATTCATATTACAAACAAATTTTCCATCTTATATCATAATATGAGTCTTTAGGATACTTTTGTATCGTAAATATCTATTACAGACTCGTTATATTAAATGAGCTACTAAAACACCTAAAAGCAAATTTTATTGCTATCTTTATGAAACTTTGCGGTGCCGCCACGTTCATATTTGAATAATTCATATTCATCATACTGTTCTGTAGTTATCTCACAATAACTAATGAGTATATAATTATTGGTAGTGAGTTTTTGACAATTATGTTGTTATGGGGGTGTATTATTTTTCAATGAACGTGGTGATAAATTATTTATTCCGAGTTGAATAAGATGCTTTATCCGAAAAATCCCCTTGAATTATCGATTTGGCAGCAGTTCCACATGGGTCCTCATTAGGATGATTTTTTTTCAGAAAAAATAAGCAAAACAATCACTCTTTCAAATAGTTATACTGAGGTAATTATCATTATTATTTTCATTATTTGTTAAAAAATAATACCCGACGCTCACCTTTTTCGATCAAACTGTACATGTCCGGATCGTGCTGCAAAGCGAAGAGAACGGGGGCGCTGACAAGACTGAATTGCCCCCCTGAGCCCCCCGCGAACGGTTCTCTGTCCAAGCAGGCCTGCCAGGCGAGAGCAAGATGTCTGCCGAAGAGGTAGCCCTTGCTTTGCAGCTCCTCAGAGTGGCCGGCCAGCTTCAAGGTGCCTTGGCAGGATTTGCCCAGCAAACTACCTAAAAATCCAGAGAAGCAATAAAAAGATGTTACGGGCGAAATACGTTGCATCGCCCTGTATAGCGTCAAAGCGGATGATTTACTGGATACACGCAATATAGGTCAATTCGCCACCACGAATTAAACGGTTTCAGGGTCTTGTTACGTTTGATATTCGCATCATGGTAAGCGATAATAATCCGTACTGTATGGCTTCGGAAATCTCTAAGCGGCGCATTCGCATACAGAGTACGCGAATATTTCGAAATTCGATTCATACACTGTAAATAAATGCTGTCTTCATACTATAACTTTCAAGTATCTGCGAGGCGCAGTTCTCTGTGCGTCCGGATTCCACTCCTGCGATCTGGGTTCGACGACTACTGCGTCAGTGGTATTTTTTTTATTTGTTTCTTTCAAGTGATTTTCCAAAAAATTCAATTTTGAGTGAGGTTAGGATGTTTAAAAAAGTAATCTCCTTCCTTATGCAGAAGGGATAATATGTTCCTTCCTCTATGAAAAAAGTACTGTGGAGGCATTTACTGTTGAGGCTGATAGTGATGCACTATTTCAATGATGTTTCATTTTCTGGATCGGCCATGAGTGTAGCTCTCGGCAGGGAATTTTCTGTAGACTGGATTCCACTCCAATTATGATAAGGGTAGTTACCTATTGCTATTATATTTTCTATGATGTGAAAACATTCGTTCTTCTAATTTACCGCCATTGCCCAAATCGCTCTGATTGACCTATAGGAATCGCCGATGCATATGTTTGGGCAAAACGGATTCGTGCTTCCCAGTGTCTCACCACTTTTTTGGTCAAGGCAGGCCATGACGACCAAAACATAGGTATGAATTTCAGACTTTTTGGGGAATGTTTCATAATCAAGTGTTCATGTTTTCTTTCCATTTTTGTAAGAGTGTTCTATTTGATGGAAATTCAAATAAAGTAATTCGATTCCCAGAATCTTTGCAGTTAGAAACAGCACAAACTTGCATTTTAGTATTTCCCCAATTTGTTCTTATTAGTTTGACAAACTTTTGAAGTTGATGTACGTCCCTGTACTGCCAGTTATAAATTTTTATTCATTTAAATTGTGGTTATGTCTGATTGTCACTTGTCAGTGGTTGTCAGAATGTCCTCTGAACTTACAAAAACGTCAAAATGAAAATGTCAAGTAAATTTAGGGTGTTTGATAGTGAATGAGGGTCATGACTCTCACCCATTTGAGTAATATCAGTAAATATAATCATTCATACCTGCATTCAAGACGTGTCGGAGTGTCCACTCGGCCCGTGCATTCCCTAGAGCTTCGCTAACTACTAGAGGTTCCAGTGTACAGTCCACAAATTGCTCATACCTTGATACAAGGGAAAAATAACTAGAGTTCTGGCAACTAATGGTTATAACCTCAATATCATATAGGTCGCGTGGGTCGCGTGCACGGTGACCGGGTAAAACATTGAAACACAACCTAACTTTTTTTATTTGTTCACAGAGGAATCAAAAGGATTGAAATAATTACAATATTTTGGCATACGAATCGTGTTTGCTGCGCTATTCATTAATTCAAGCATGCCTTCTCATTGTGCTTTTGTAAAATGCACAAAAAATGCAGTGAGAGACGAAAGAATATCCTTTTTTAGGTAAATAGTAATCTCAAATAGTTTTTTCTATTGAATTTTTGTCTTTTCTCATCAAAATGCCTTCTGCCACTTCTGCAATAGAAGCTAATACTGCTATTAGATTGAAAATATCTACAACACACACGATCATCTTTCGTCAGCATGTCAGACCAGTTCTACCGTTTGATTGCATGAATCCAATCTTCTTGCATTCTCTTAAAAATTTCACGAGTATTTCTATTAGCTTCTATTGCAGAATGAACTCCGATGAGAAATCAGAAAAATTACCAAATTTCAAAATGAAAACTATATGTGAGTGACTATAGTAGGTGCTAACTAAATCATCATGTACCAACCAGATTCCTTCGTCTCCCGCTGCATTTTTTGTGCATTGTACAACAGCACAATGTGATGGCATGCGCGAATTAATGAATAGAAGAAAAACACGATTCGTATGTCGAAATAATTGTGAAAAACGTAAACAAATAGGAAAAGTGAGGTTGTGTTTCAATGTTGCACCTCCAGGGTCGGTCATCTGACAGTTCTTGCACCCAACCCATATCATATTTAGAGGAAGTGCAATATACAGGGTAAGTCAGAATAATACCGACGAACTTCGTACACGGATTCCTCACCTCATTGTGAGGTGAAAAGTTTCTATCAACGTAGGTATGAAAAAAGTTGAGAATTCTCTGAATTTCTCCAGAACACACCTGTAGCAAAAGATTTGAAACTCGGTATACCAATCCAGATTAATCAGAGTAATCACAGGGAGTTTTCATTTTTGAATGTTGTCAACCAGTGGCGTTAGGGTCGTATGTCGCCACATTTTCCTTCAAAATTCTTCTCAGACAGATGAATTATCAAATTTGTGAATGACATCAGTTAGTTACCTAACATTCTTCATGCCTAAATGTAGAGGTTGCGGAAATATTTGAGAAAAACCTAAGACATGCCCTGAAGTAATATTCAGTAGAGGCCTAATTTGCTGGGTACCAATGAACGTATAATGCTGGTATTATACGAGATATAGATATTTCTTCCCAACCTCTGGAATATTTTCCAAAAAATTGAAAACATTGTGTGGGTGATTCAGAAGTTAATCGACAAACTCGAGGTTAATAGTCGTAAGCCATATTAAATTTGTCAGAATCATCAACCTATCAAAACAACAGTTTTTAATTGAGGGAAACCATGGCAACGTTTTTCATATGTCAAACAGTAATAATAGATTATTTGGCGCAGAGAATATTTTGTAAAATAAATAATTGACATCTTCTGGATCATGGACTGTCGCACGTTTTGGAAGATGCCTGGTGTATAGGTCGCGTGCAAGAACTGTCAGATGACCGACCCTGGAGGCAAAACATATTTGTTTACAAGTGATCCAAATAGTTTTCCACAATTATTTTGGCATATGAATCGTATTTTTCCGCTATTCATCAATTCGCTAATGCCATCACATTGTGCTGTTGTAAAATGCACAAAAACTGCAGCGGAAGATGAAGAAATCCGGATGGTACATTATGATTCAAAAGTAAGTACCTACTATAGTCACTCACATAGTTTTCATTTTTGAAATTTGGTTATTTCTCTGATTTCTCATCGGAATTCCTTCTGCAATAGGATCAGCTAATAGAAATATACCTGAAATTTCTAGAATATTGCAAGAAGATTGGATTCATGCAATCAATCGGTAGGACTGGTCTGACATGCTGACGATCGTGTGTGTTGTAGACATTTTCAATCTATTAGCAGTATTAGCTTGTATTGCAGGAGTGGCAGAAGGCAGAAGGAATTTTAATAAGGAATGACAACATTTCATGATGCTAACTATGTGAGATTACTATTTACCTGAAAAATCATATTCCCTAGTCTCTTGCTGCATTTTTTGTGCATTGTACAATAGCCCAATGCGAAGGAATGCTTGAATTAATGAATAACGCAAGAAACACGAGTCGTATGCCAAAATATTGTGAAAAACTATTTCAACCTTTTGATTCCTCTGTAACCAAATAAAAAAGTGAGGTTGTGTTTCAATAATTCACAGAAGAATGAGGTTGTGTTTCAATATTTTGCCTCCAGGGTCGGTCTTCGTGCACGCGACCTATTCTGGATTACCATGCCTGCTGCTAAAATTCTAGCTGTTGAATCTTCTTCAGATTCTACAGGTGTAGAATAGACTATGTATCTGAGGTGCCCCAAAACATTTTTCTTACTTTCGACACCCTGTATCTCAGTGAGGATGCATTTTACGACATACTTTGATAGGAACTTTTCACCTCATAATGAGTCAAGGAATCCGTGTACGAAGTTTGTCGATTTTATTCTGACACCCTGTATTGACTAAGAGAAACAGGGATTGAGATAACTTTAGAGGTCAACATAGCTAGATGGCTCCCAATTCTAGCAACTTCGGCAGAAAAATGCATTGGAATAGAAGTGTCACTGGTATTATGGCCAAACAGAGGGCATATTTCACGATACTGAAAGACTTTTTTCTTTGCAATTGCATTACCTCGTTGGTCCCAGCACTGGGACCAAACGCCCCATAAGTCGAAACTTGTGCGGGGTTAGATATGCATACAAACACAAACATCCATGGCCTAACTAGGATTCGAACCTATGTCTCGGTGGGAGTCCCCATACGAACTCAGCGCCTTCACGCTCTCGACCACCGAGCCGATAAAGTTCCTTTGAAAATGAATTATGGAATCGAATCCACCACGAAAAGGAAACTTTTCAAATGAAAGGGACCTTTTAGTTGATTATGTAACCGGCTGTAAAAGGCTCGAGAATCTCGTCTGCAAACCTGAAACAGTCTTCGTACCCTTTTCCATCGGTCCTCGGCCTGGCAGGCAACGGAGCGTTCTGTATGTCTCTCGGTTCCACGAACTCGGCCTCCGCTAGATCTCTCACGGCAGAGCTCATCAGCTCCACCAGGTCCTGATTCTTGAGATTCGCCAGTTCCACGCAGCTGTTGCTGAGCAGATAATCGCCCGATAAGAGAGCGATCTTGTTCCCGGCTATCATATCTCCTGGAAGAGATAATTAGGGTGACTTAAAAAAAACTGTCAGCTTTTGAGATCTAACATTTAAACATTTAAGCCTTAAGAATCTTATGTGGATTCAGTTATAATAGTACATTACATTAATGACCCTGATGCACACTCAATAAAATGATGTTTACCTGGCGCCTCAACCTTGACGCACGGCTGCATGTTGACCAGCCCCTTGTGCACCAAGTGGCTCGTCCTTATCATCTCGGTGACCTCGGCTAACGCCCTCTGGCTGTGCAGCACGCCGGCGGACTTGTCCTCCTCCATGTCAGGGACGGCGGCAGTATGACCTGCAGCCTTCGAAACCAAAAGAACGATGAGGCCCCACGCCTGCATGTTGTTCTTGCCATTGTACAGAAGGCCCCTAGAAAGATATTGGGGTCAGATGCTGTTTGGTACGTGTATGTAGTATAAAAGATTTTCATTTTGTTGTTAACATGACGACGTGTTGTTGAAACATAAGATTTTATCAATAAATAAAGGATTGCAATACGAATTGCTATTCTTATATCAATCTTCATTTTATTATCATATATCATAACGAAATACAGTCCACTAGCTATCAACCATCGAACATATTGGTCCTTCGAGCCGGATATTGGTCTGTCGAGCCGCTGGATCTATTAAATTCGAACCTTCAAGACTTCCGAGTTCGTCTCAAAACAGAGCAGCACTGGAGACTACCTGGAATAACAGTGAATGCCAAACAGCTTTCACAGGTAGCAACAAGCAGCTCAAGCGATCAGATGCAGTAAAACAGTAAAAAGCGTCGAACTAACAAAGAATGCCCTATCTAACATGATTCAGGTAGTGAAATGACATTAAAAATGATGAGTTTGATTGAAATTGACTTAGGAATTTTTTGGGCCATGTTGTTGTCATAGTACAAAAGGTTCCTGGAAGCACATCGAGTTCAGATGCTTAACACCTCTGATAACTCGAACAGCCGAAAGAGTTCTGAGTAAAAATTAAAAATATTTTTTAAATAAGAAGTCTTAACTAATGAACAAGGCCCTTACTAACTTGAATCAGATACTGAAGTGAATCCAACAGCACGATGAGGCCCCACGCCTGCCTGTTGGTCTTGGCTTTGGACAGAAGGCCCCTGGGGGCCCTGGAAGAATATTAGATGCAGTCGAACTTTCAAAAATTCGAACAGCCGAAAGAATCATTAGATAATTGATTGGTACGTAATTGAATAAATTCTTCTTCTTCCGAATCGATGAAGTCTGGAAGTCTCGTCGTGACAGTGACATCTCGTCATGCCAACTAGATATGTTTTTACCTTTGAATTTCATACATGGTATTTTCCACTTGCTTAAGGGAATTCCTGAGTATATAGCACATTTAGTCACCGCATGCCACCTCACGCCTAGTCGTCTAAATTCAGCTCTGATCGTTTTTATCTTAGAAGTTTCACTTGAGAGATTTTTACTTTGACAGGGCTTAGAGGTGTTAGTTATTGAGGTTATGATACACGAAAATTTGCAAGAGTACTGAAAAAGTTATTGGTAGAAGTTCGACGGTACGAAAATCGGATATATTCATATATGAACATACCAGAGCATAGCTAGATGGCGGAAAGAGGAAGTTGAGGTGAGTTTATATATACGTATGATCTAAACGGTTGATTGATGAGATATCGAAGTTCACGATTTTTTTAGGTATAATGATCAATGCATGGATTTTTTTCTTCTACACAACTCCATTCAGCTGATAGAGAAGCAGTATTGAATATGGGGTCAAACAGAGACAAAAAAGTACCATACCAAGACTCATTTGATACAAAACATACCCATTCATAACCATTCTTTTAAATGTCTATTATTCACGATTATTCATCTGGGACTTGATCTTTAATATCCCTTTTTTTTAATAAAAATAGTTCCATGAATTCATGTTGAAGCAATCGATTATTTAAAAAAAAATACACGTTCACTTCTTACTGAACTACCGGCAATATAGTGTCAATTCAATTGATACTTCTGGTTCTTCTGATATCGCCGAAAGCAAATGATCGGGTTCGGCTGTCAACGTCCAATGATCCACAAAATTTCCAAGCAAACTTCAAACATTCACAGATGTCTTCCAAAATATATTTTCCAATGGAAATATATCCACTGCATTTATCGCTTCAAATGAAGAAAAAAACTCCACTGTACACTGTGATTCAAGATTAGCATTGCTCACTCTGATTCTTTATTTTTTTTATAAAAATTGGTTAAAATTTGCTGCATCTTTCATCAATTCTAACATAGAATCTTTGTCCAATTGCTATTATTGCTTTCAAACTCGGTATATTATATTGATATGACAAATATTCATGATTTCATATAAACAACACCTCGACAATACCACTGTGGGTGTTAATTTTGCCAAACCATATGTTATAAGACCCTTATAAAATTAGTATTGGTATGCCACTGGTGAATTGAAATTATTAATGCTACACTATCTTATTATCTTGAATTCTTGATAATTGATTTTATGTTTTTCAAACTCCACTGTAAACTGTACACAGGATGATTCAGGTCTAGCATTGCTCACTTTGATTCTCAATTGTTTAATACAAATTAGTTAAAATTTGCTGCATCTTTCATAAATACTAACTTAGAATCTCTATCCAATTGCTATTGCTTTCAAACTTAGTATATTTTGATTCTGATACAGATATTCATGATTTCATAATAACAATACCTTGATAATAACACTGTGGGTGTGTTAATTTTGCCAAACCATATTATGTTATAAGACCCTTATAAAATTAGTATTGGTACGCCACTGGTAAATTGAAATTTGTAATGCGTAATGGAACACTATCTTAAATTCTTGATAATGATTATGTTTTTTATATGTTTGTATTTTCTTGCACAAAAAATTACTGGGTGTTACTACAGACTTCACATTTAGGTGGAGCTTTCATCATTGTTTTCATCCATAGTTCCATAATAACAATTGAAGAATAATTAATAGTTAAAAAATATATTGCTCAGGAGTAGGTACCCACTTTGCTGTCTTGAGAAGAGGATGATTGGATCCAACAAGTTTTCGCAACTGCAAAGCCACATTTGCTATCTCATCACTCAGTAACCAGCGCAAACTCAGGAATGAATTTGGATATCCTACAATCTTTTCTGCCTCACTGACAGCCCTATTCCAGTCAGGTTTTTTCGCGTATTGAGCATTAGTGTACGTAATTTCTCTCTTGGGAACCCAACGGTTGTGAGCTATGGCACTACTACAAAGAACTGTCCTATTTCTAGACAAATTCATGGTCAATTTTGAAAGAGACATTCTGAACGGAAATCGAGTCTTGTAATGACGATATTAGAAATAAAACTATTCTTATGAAAGCAGATGCCAAGGCAAGTATAAGTGGTATAAGTGAAAGTTGACCCACATTTTTTCGAAAATTATGGTCAACGATTATCATGGGGGTATCCTAACCTTTAATTTCGCATTTGGCGTCTTCATATCATAGATACACAAAGTAATAAGCTGACAAGGAATTTTCCCTTGGACAAACATGATGTTTTTCCAAAATATTCAGTGTTTTTACATATTTGATGATGATCAAGATGATGTCCACATTCGTTTGACGTTTATTGTTAGGTTATGTTTTCGTTTTGATCACTTTTGATTTGATTATTTTGATTTAACATCAAAACAAAATGTCAGTTTAATTTGGCTGTGGATCTTCGTCCGACAGTCGGACGAATAGCCAAGGTTTCAGAAGTGCCTAAATCTTTCGAACCATTCCCATCACTTGATAATATAATTATGTTGAGATTCGTGTTTTCTGTCTGATGATTATTTTTCGCAATAAAACTATGGAGGTTCAGTTTGGCCTCAGGGTTTCATTCTGGTCCTCTAATATCATGGCGTCCGTCCACTGTGATCATTTGTTTAGTGATTTAGGCTTTCAAGGATGTTTTTCCTTTCTCTCGAGACGCCGAGAGTTTCGTCAATAATTTTTTAATAGTTTTTCTTCGAGCGAATGCGCATGCGTCCATGATGTATCACGTGACTCACTTTGACCGATCTGACAATGAGGTTTGGGAATCTTTAGAAAACTTAAGGCTCGTAAAGTTTCGGGGTTGCTGAAATAATTAATAATATAGAAGAATATATTGTTGTTTGCTTTGCAGTTGGCATTTTCTTTTGCATCAAAAGTTTGGTACTTCGTGTAATCTACACTGTATTTGAGAGTTCTGATTACACATCGATCACTACATCAGTGTATCCATCTATCCATCTATATGGATTTGGGCTGGTGGTGCGATGTACAGAAGCAAACTCATATGCATATATTATTTATTTTCTGAAAACATGTTCAATGGTTAATCTTCCGGCGATCGGAAGAATAAACACTACCTTTCATTTATCGCCTAATTGGTTCATCGACTCATCGTTTACATTTCGACTAAAAGGCTTGGAAATGTCAATGATCAACTTAAACCCTTAAACCAGGCCAAAAAATCAGAATGTTTCAATGATTCATTGTGTGATTTAACTTTGAGTAAGCAATAGTATGAATGTTTCGTGACTTGAGACTTGAGAGGACTTGAAAACTCAAAAAACTGAAAAGACGAACCAGCATTATGTTTATGAGTATCATGTAAACGTATGCGCATTTTGATTTTTGATACTACCTGTCCTAAAAGCATTTTCTTTTTTTCATTTCTTAAAAGAAGCTTCTGTTTTGCTTTTTTTCGAACGTCATGAACTTCTTTCTTCTTTCAGCACATTAGCTGAGGCACAAAAAAGTGAAAGAAAAGGGAACTCGTTTATGAATTTTCACAGAAAGGTAAGAGTAAGAACAATCAACGACAAAAGATCACACACACATTGACACATACACACAACATGTTCATTCATCGTTATTCTTCCATCTTCTCCGGCCAATCGAATCGACAATACAATCAGCAAAGCGAATTCACGCATTTCCCGAAAACATGTTCATTATTCTGCTTTTGAAGGCAACTAGGCAGAGCCACGAGTGACACGAGACGAGAGACGAGTAGACAATTTTAACTTTTGCGTTGCGTACGCCGGTTGTGCATGTGAATTGTTGGTCCTCTATCAATCGATAAGGGAATGACATATTAGTGGGAAAATAGGGAAAGGCTTTCCCGTTTTCACAGTTTCCACAGTTTCTTCTTATTGGTTGTACCTTCATAGTGACAAAAAAAATAAACTAGTGAATAGGTTCATAAAAGGGACATCGTCGCCGGACTCATTTTTCTTTTCCTTGGTAAGTCATACAAATATTTGGTACAATAAAGTTTTTGATACCTACTTGAATCCGATTCCTCATTTTCATTTTTAATTCTATATTATATTCATACAAATTTTTTTATTGATATTCTGGATGAATGATGGTAAATGTGGATACACACTCACCTCGCATATATACCATCTAAAAATACCATCGATCAGGTTTCGATAATAGCCAGATAATTTTAGATTTTCTTCCTTTTCCTCATAGAATTCGTAGAAAATATAGATGCTCCAATTTGATTCGGAAATCTTTGATTTTTGCGCATATGAAATCAATATATACCTATAGATAGGTATATCCTCGGAAGCTCAATCCTCGGGTATAACAGTGGTAGGTACCGAGATAAAATAGGTATATATTCATTATTTCTCATTCCTGATCTTCCATAATAATATACTTCGTTATTTTTTGCCCTACATATATATATATATACATAGGTACATCCAAGGGTACATCCTTCGGATCATTCTAAACCAAATAATTATGATTATAATACCTAAATCATATCTCATATCTATAAAGCAGAGGCCCTATTTTTACATTGCATTCAAATATTCCTTAAGAGATCAAAATGTGATCAAAATCAAATGATGGCAGGGCCGGATTAACCACACACAGGGCACGATGAGGGACAACTGCCCAAGGGCGAATTCATAATTGGGGGGCGAGGGGGTTTCCACCTCTGTTTCCAATAAGGAAATGCGTGGAACAATAAGTTATGAAATGCTTCGAAATCCGTTGAAATCTCGGTTGAAATGCCATGAAATGCCTTGAAATGCTATGAAATATTTTGAAATGCCATGAGAAAAAATGGAATGCCATGAAATAAAATGATGAAATGCCTTGAAATCCTTGTAATAGGTACTTCAAAATTTCTTTAAATGTCATGAAATTCCTTGAAATGCCATGAAATACCTTGAAATGCCATGAAATGTCTTTTAATGGCTTGAAATGGTTCGAAATATTTTGAAATGACATGAAATTAAATGAAATGCTATAAGGAAATGGTACAAAATGTTCTGAAAACCTTGGAATGCTCCGAAATACCTTTAAAGTCATGAAATGAAATGCTTGAAATATCACAAAATGGTTTGAAATGCTATAGTGAAATGTCACGAAATGGCTTCCAATCGAGTTTGGAATGCATTTGAATGGCTTGAAATGTAATGAAATGTCAGAATAAAAAATGCGAGAAAAAATTAATGCTTCAGATAGCTACTAATCACACATGGAAATGGATGAGATGCATTTTGAAATGGTTGAAATGGATGAAATGCAATTTCAAATGATTAAAAATACATGGAATACTTCCGAAATGGCTGAAATACTTACGAAATGAATGAATAAATGCTTACGAAATGCATGAAATGCGATTATGCTTGGAAATCTTTTTCACTCATGGTTTTGTTGTTGACTTTTTCATATACCTACCAATGCAAAATGGTCTATATTTAAATGAAATAATATTCTATTACTATTGTATAATACCTATAATGATATATACATATCATGAAGTTAGTAACTAAATCCTGAGATCGATTAGAAATACAGGTGATATTTATATCAGTCATTAGAGGGCCAAGTGACATTTTTTCTCTTGACATTATAACATAATTTGCTGATTAGTCTTGATAATTCCTCCCATAGTTTCTACGTCACTGATGAAATTTCATATTTCGATTATTTTCAATTTCTGGAAATCATTGGTTCAATTTTGGTCTTACAAATACGTCATTTCCAGATGAAATAGAAGTTAAAACTCGTTTTGTCATATCGAAAAATCTGATTTTAATTTGATTTTTGGGTAACTAACAGAGTTATTGACTTCTGATTCGGTATTGACATTGACATTGGCGAGTGGGTATTTTGTTTTTTACTATGTAATCATCAGTGGAGAAATGAAAGTATATATTAAAAATAAGTGAAATAATTTGTATCACGATGCCAACGAATGCTCAGTCAAGCACAAAGTTGAATAACAAACTTGGCAAACGACGAATGTTTGTTTTTTGTATATATAATTAATTTAATAAATCATCAACAGAAGCAGATAGATAGGCACAGATAAATAGGCATCTATATTAATGACGTAAAAAGTGTACTTTCACCTCACAATTTTCAAAAAATATGTTTTGAGCAAGGATATTTTCATTATTTTCACTTATAATTTTTTTTGTCGAAGTAAACTGGACATGTATCAATAAAAATATTGTTGCCTGGCAATTTGACGAAAAAAACTGCTTCTGAAAAATTACGAGTCCGTAGGACAAGTAATTTTTCCTGGCAGTTTTTTGAGTTGAATTACCTAATGGCAACACAATTCGAATAATAAATGCAAAGTTTACTATGACTAATAAAAAGGCTAGAGTGTAATTCGGGAAGACAATTCAATTCATCAAACATTATTTCTTTATGGCTGGTTGTCATCCTTTCAAAAGTTAGGTTCCGTTATTGTCGCTGGAAAAGTTAGGGCAAATTTTTTTCGCTGTCATGATGACAAAATCACGCGGCTTGTGGGATTTTTCATACATGAATTAAATTGTCCAGCTCTATTTTTAATCAAGGTACCTCTATCACAAAAAATATTGGTAGGTATTCCCCATGGTATTCCTTGAATTTTTAGAAAAATGCTCATCAGAATAGAATATATACAGTGTGTCCCACTTACCATGCTCACCATGGGTATCTTTTTAACGGTGAGAGATACGAAAAAATATTTTGATAAAATCTATTCGTTTTTGTTTTATGCGCAAAAAACAGATTTTGATCATTTTCATGTCTCCTCCGTAACTTCTTCATTTATGAAAATATTCAAATAGGAATTTCACATTCTCATGACAGTTTTTCGAAGTGATTTCGAAAAAAATATTAAATTTATACCAACTCTTCTAGAATTTGAGATATCTGCACCAACTTTAGTTTTTCAAATGTAGGTCATAGCTCACTATGACTTAGTTACAAATAACTTTTTTTTTCTCTTCCAGATGATATGTCGCAGTAATAGTTTTGTGTTGATACCAACGGAGTTATCGTCATTTATACAAGAACAAAAAATTATTTGGAAGCCGCCATCTCGAATTTATGAATTTTAACAAAAAAATCATGATCTCCGACCTCAAAAACCCCCACTTACCAATTTTTAATGGAATCGGACCAAATCTTGTTCGCCATCTTGGAGCAGCCATTTTTTTCAATTTCAACAAAAATTCCATTACTCCGATTAACTTGAAATTTGACAGGTGTTCATAATTTCGGTGACAATACATTGTGGAATTTTTGTTGAAATTAAAAAAAATGGCTGCTCCAAGATGGCGGACAAGATTTGGTTCGATTCCATTCAAAATTGGTAGGTGGGGGTTTTT